CAGAACTATGCAACCAGTGAAGTAAGAAAACTCACCCAGCGATATATCCTTTCAGAGTAACTGTTTCTTACAGGTAAGATAAGAAAGGCAGGATTTTGCATCAAGTCTAAACTGCCTCCATAGCTAAATTCAGTTTATTGTAATGAAAATCTAAAGTACATAATAGTTGCCAAGAAGCAAGGCTTTTAACTTTTAACCTGCTTCTCCTTCATAGAAGGAACCAAAATATTAACAAGGCTCTTTAATAACCCCTTACAGTAAACACCTTCAGGAACAGCAAAGAAACAACTGGTCAAATTCACGACTAACATGCTTTGCTTTGGTTTACTTCTTCAGATGCTACTGAAATAGCATTTACTGGTTACAGGTGTACAGGAGATGTTTCCCTGCTGAACTCCTTGGTGAGGTACCATATGCAGTGAGTCATTTAAAACCATACTCTAGATGAGGAGGAAATCAGAGGACTCAGGTTTGGTTAATCTTGCATTAAAATAAATGCAGATAAAAGTTAGCAAAGTGCAGATCACTAGCTTCTGCTGCCCAATTAGTCTATTTCAAGAGAGCTGCTAGTGCATCAGCCTTTACACTGCCTGCAATATCCACATCTCAGGAAAGAGCAGCAAACTGGCAATACAACTCATCATGCACTATTTATGCAGCAAATTCCTCTTTTCTTCATGAAAGCTGCTTCTGATCAAATAAATACTAACAAGACATCGCATGTTCTACTTGAGTTGTGTAACTGTGTGCAAGAGCAGTAAGCACTTTTTCTCTGCACAGAAGAGTGCAGTGATACCAACAGCTCATTACTCTGTGCTTCCTAGACAGGAACAGCTTCAGACTGAACAGTCAGTCCAGAGGGAGGCAAACAGAACATTGCCCACCAGTTCAGACCTTCCCTGCAGCAGCCAGCCTATCTCTCACCTGCCCAAGTGAATCCTTGGGCAGACACTTTAAGGAATTATGTTCTAATCACTTGATTGAATTACTCCATGCAAAGCAGATTTCATAAAGGAGGAGAAGAAAGTCATCATGAAAGGTTATTGCTAGGTGTTGTAAATGCTCATCAACATACACACTGCTCTGATGGGACATCTTCAAACAACTTTGGAGAAAAATTTCTAGGTAATTTCCCACATCCATATATATGCATTGTATGACACGCAGCATTCCAACCTGCATGCTGACAAGAAAGGAGACCAATTCTTGCCCCTTCAGCTCTTTACCACAATCTCCTGCAGCTGGGCTGTGAGAAACTCTGAGCTTACCTAGAATCAAAGAGCTCAGTTACTAAGTTTAGAAGCTTAGCAACATGTGCTTTTTTGCTTTACCATTTGAGCAGGCAACCCTGTGATTTTTACTCCGATGGCTCAAGGTGATGGAAAACCTGTTAACACTGAACCAGAGACTAGGAGTTTTGATAGAACAGTGCTAAGCACTTCCTCAGAGCACTGTGCAGCCACTGCTTTGGAGAGTATGAACCATCCAGTTTCCTCTTTATTACAAACCTCGTCTCTCTGCCTTATCTCAAGAGCAGCTCAGGTATGAGGTGTTACACTAGTCCTTGGTAACTGCAGACTGCTGGCTAGTCCTCATCCAGAGATCTGGGGGTGGGGGGAGAACTGGCTACAAAAGTAGCTCAGTAACACAATACAGATATAAAGGGACCAGTTCAAACTGTTTCGTGTCCAGCTACATTAACTTCTATCAGTAAGTTGAGCACAGTTTCACTGTTTCAGCTTTGCCTCTGTGAACACTTGAGAAATATGGCCATTGGAGAAAATGCAGTTCACATGGTGCTCCTATGCAGAGTAAGCTTGCTGCAGCACAGACAAGAAATTACCAAACCAAATGTCCAGGTAGACTGGACACCCACAGAAGCAGGATACCCACCCTTGCTCCTTTACTAGCAAGAGATTTTCCTGCTGACAGTGCAGGGGGTGGGGGGGACAGACGACAGTACACGTGGCTGTTCTGGCCAAACTCAAGAGGCCAAACTCCATTTGCCTCTCTGCCCTAAAAAATTCTTAACGTGTCAAAGATCCCAGTTTCTATACCCAGTTCTCCATCCTCCCTTGTGTAAGACCTTAAAATGTTGAATTCAAGACTCTAGTCAAACAAGCAAGGAGTGGGGCGCAACAAATTCATCCTTCTGAGGTAGATCCTCAGTGCCTTCAGATCTCGCTAGGCCTCCTCTTCCTCTCAGCTTCCCCTGGCTGCAGCCTTTCCATGGCACTCAGAGAGGGGCTGAAGGAAACAGTACTGGTCCAACATCATCTTACAGGAGACAGCATTCCTGCCAACTGGAAGTGCTTATCAGGAAAGGGATTCTGTACTCTACTTTGCACTGCTACAGCTTCCTACTGTTAATGGAACCAGCCCTAGATCCCATGGAGTTTGTTGTGCTCTATTTGTCTGGAAACCACTGTCACAACTGTGGACAGGAACAGATGATGAGGAGCAGCCATTCTTACTGGGGTCTGAGCCCCACAGTTCTATAATCTGCTGTTAGTTATGTGCAGTCTTCCACATGATTAAGTGAAACATTTTTAAACAGCATTAACTAGATAAATATTTACCCTCGTTTTAAAATAGAGAAAAGCATTCAATTGGTAGAACCAGCCTTTTTAATAAGCTGCAGTCTGAACTCCATGTCAAGGTATGCCTGTTAAGGCATGGGGCTTCACACAGCTTTCTCAACTCAGCTGATCAAATCAGAACAATAAATGGGAATATCATATGAGAAACTACTGGGAGTCAAAGAGGAGAAACAAGAGAATGTTTATGGACCATAGTGATCAGGTAGCTGACTGCTTCTATTAATGCATCCTATCAGTGGCTCTCTTTCCTTAACTTTTATCTACTGGAAGAAATGACGAAGAGAATGGAAGACTTGGAAAACAGGCTAAAATACTGATCAGAATTTTAAGTGTATGCTACACTGTATATTTATACATACAAACTTGTCAGAGCTATTTTCTTAAACTGGTTCAAAGTAAAATAACATCTTTGTGTCTGAAGTTGAAAAGAATTTTCTGGATCCTTCCATTTATATGCCATGTGTGGTCTTGCATTGATTGCAGATAAGAAATTTTGATAATTTTATATAAACAATTTAGTAACTAGCAGAAGTTCTAATTAAGCAGAACAACTGAAATAAGCTATGCAAAATAATAAAATGCTGTTATTTTTTGAAATTAAACCTCCATGTTTTGAAGTATTTTTAGGGTATGAATTTGACTTGCTTTTCTGTATTTCCCTCCTCCACTCCTGGTATTTTAAGCACACAGTTTGTGTGTATATATATAGTTCTATGTATAGACATACACAGAACAAGTGAGACAGCATTCACAGCCATTAGGCTTGACTGGGTTCTTCAGTTACTACTGGAATCAGCAGGAAGTAAAAATATAGTTACACATTTGTGTTTAAACTGTGATGGAATTAAATTATCAAAGTGGAAAGTCTGCTGGGTTATCAGGGCATCATAACTTGGAAGTTTCAAAAACTTTTCCTTATGTCCAGACTACCCAACTTTTCCCTGCTGTCCTTTGGTCAGTATTCACCGATTCTCTAACTTTCCTAAATGCAAGTAGTATATTAATTCTGAAAATATTACTTGTCAATTCAGTTAGCTGCACACCTGTTAAACACTAAAACACAAAAGCAGCAAACTGCTTCTATTCTGGCCACCGTAAGTGTTTTCAAGTCTCACTCCCTTCCCTTGAATGCAACTCATCCAGATCTGTTTTTAATAGGTTTAATAGGTAAATATACCAGCACTTCCTCCTTTGCTTGAAGTCTGCCTCTTGACTTTCTCCAAATGGAAACACCAAACCTTATAACAGAAGTAGTTGCAGCAAAACTTAAGTGAGTGATCTCAGACAAGCTGGTGAGTGTGCATGGATATACTTTGAAAGATACCTTGTGCTTTGGCATACTTTCAAATTCTGCAAGGTTACAGGTACATTCTGATCTCATTGGGTGTTTGCTTTTACCATGTCAGAAAATCACTGGCATCTCAATTAACAATCCCTAGTAATAAGGAACATCCTGCAGTCATGGTCTCAAACAAAACAGGCACAAATCCCTAAGATACTGACATTCTCAGCAGTTGTGACTTGAGAACACTAGCTCATCTGTCTCCAGTATCTTCACAAAACTAAAAAAAAAGGCTACTGATTTAAAAACAGCTTTGTGAAGTTAACTGTTATCTTACTGAAAGTGTATGTTACACATCAAGGACCTATATGCTGTTTTTCCTTTCACAAGTATGTACTTTTGGAAGGAAAAGACAAAGGAACTAATGCACATTAGTACTTGATTCACTTGGTAAAAAGTGTGAAATATTTAACATAAGTAAACCTTAAGGGTTCCACACCAACATCCCAAATTTGCTACTGTCCATTATGCCTTGTGTTTGCATTAGCACCCCAAAAGCAAACACTAAGGGAGCCCCAGCCCGTTGGGATTTGGCACCATACTTGCCATGATCAAGGCTTCCTTCACTTACCTCTGAAGATCCACAATGCCTACAGAAAGAAAGAAAAAACCTTCACATGGCAAAATTTGCCTAACAGAACAAGAAGCACAGCAGTGGTAATGAATCTTCATTTATATAGTTTGTTCCCTAAAACCAACAAAGGTATAATACAAATTTTTCTTTAAAAGATAGATCTGTAACCAGTTTTATTGTAGAAATAACACCTTTACAGCATTTACTTCTCACTGGTTTGTTCTGGCATGCTTCTGATGATGTCAGAGTCGCCTGTAAAACAAAAATGTATTGTTACAAGAGGACCCATGGGAAGATGATTTTAGGAATAAAAGTAAGAAAAAAAAGCCCTACTCATAAAATCACCACAGTGATTCTAGAAAAAGAAAACAACCTAAAAGAACAGATAGTCTGCTTAGGAAAAAAGCAAATAATTATGATAAAATTGATGATAAGAATACTTGTGGTTTTCTAATCCAAGTAGAGGACTTTACAATAATTACACACCTGTCACCAGCATTTACAAAGCCAGGACTAGAACAGCAATCCAGTCCTGGAGGACACAATGCACAGTTTTACTGTAGCGAATGTCTAGCCTCCCCTGATCACAGAAGTATCAGGACAGCGAGAATATTCGCATTGTCAGCTACAGAGCATTGGGACTGACCTGCAGCTCCCACCCCACCCAAAACCAAACCTGAAAGTGACATTTGGAAAGTTAAGTTTGCAGCTACTATTTGAATACAAGCAAGCTAGATAAAGTTTCCTGAAGCAGCAGGAAATTCAAATCATTGTGACTTGGGGAACAGCTGGTTAAAGTTATTCCAGAAATCATTAAACCTATGTGTATGCATTCTGGTCAACAAACAGAACAGGGGATTGATTCTTCTAAAACATTCTGGAAAGAAGATGGGAAGTCACCTACTTAGCATTCTATATAAGGAATCTGAGCAACTCTCTGGGACAAAGACTGTTACCAAACCACAGTCATTACATATAAACATACAGTTTTAAAATGAAGTGTTTAACATAATTTTCATTGCCTTGATGAATATCCACCTGCCTATTGGTTATTTTTCTATATACTATTCTGGGAAGCAGGAGAAGTCACAACCCTTTGTGTCAGATTAAGAACACTCAGACAGGGTTGTTGTAAGCAGTATGTTGTCATGCTCATGTCCTAGCTGATGGGTTCAGAAACAGATCCCACACAGCTGCTTCCCAGACACTGAAACCTCCCTACAGACTGACAAGCAGACAAAATGCTCACAGGGCTCAGCAGTAAAAGAGCTGTGTGCAAGAGAAGCAGCAGTCCTTCCAGGTTCTGAGAACCTCGGACTCACAAAAGAACAAGATCTTGGTCAGAGAAAATTTTAAGTGTTAAACCTGATGGAAAAATGCAGTGAAGTGTGTCACCACTCCTGCTCATTCCTTGCTCAGTGCTGGGGAGGATCCACAGACACCTCATTTGGCCCCTACACTGCAGGAGGGAATTACCTGGGTCAATGATGGCCAGCGTGCACACTCTGTAGTATTTTCCACATGCTGTGCCCAGCTCAATGTTGTTCCCGCTATAATGGTGGACACCAGTCTTAGCAAGCATAGCGTAGTACTCAATCTCTGATTTTCTGAAATCCAAAAACTGGGTGTTAACAGGACCACAAACAATTCTGGCCAACTGCAATACAGAGAGAGCAGCTTTAACTCCCACCACACTTGAACCTTAAGACCCTTAACTTTTCCTTCCCACCCAGAGAAACAGAGCTGTTTCTTGAGGCAGCATCACTCCACACTTGTGGCTCAGGAACCTTTACTCAGATGTCAGCTGAAGGTTTATAACAACAAACCCTTCAGGCTGCTCCTACTCAGGCTCATTTCCACATGGTACAAGGATTCAGCACTTGCAGACCTCTGAAAGGCCTTTCTTCATGTGCCAAAGTGCATGAACTAAGAGAGTTAATGTTGATGGCCAGTGGTGGCCAGGTGCTGAACAGTGACACAGCTGTTGCAGCTGAGAAAGGAACCATGTATTTTAATTTAAAACAAAAAGTCCATCTATGCTGCCCTCTCTTCTGACTTACACTTGGAGAGTGTCAAGCAGTCAATACTGTTTCCCAAGCATTTTCAGATCACCACTAAAATTGGGGATTGCTGCCCACTGCAACAGTCTTGCTATTTCTCAAGTATCTAATTTCTGGGTTTTGCACTGACATTGTCTTGAGCCTCTCAATATCCCTCAGCAACAAAAAGGGCTCAGGTATTCAGTGAGGAAACAAGTCATGATACTGGTACAAATTACATTCTCAAAAAAAGGGGTTCACTGGCAAGGACCCCAAATTTATAACTAACTCTGACATAGTGCTTCAAATATTTTAAATCTGTTATCAGTTTTTCTAGTTATAAAATTATTTTCCAATACACTAATTTGGAAAAACATAGGAATTCAGCCCCATTACACTCTTAGTGAACGCTATCAAGTGTGAAAAGCTTCCAGTACTTTCTCTGGTGCAAACTCCTTGAATTAGAAAGCCAGGAAAACACCAGGAAGCATTTCAACACTTCTAGACTTGAAATTGTTACACAGCAAACTACCAAACAAATTTCAGAGCACTCTAGAGCATGCCAGCAAAGCCCTCTGTATGCAGTCTCTGGAGCAATTAGCACGAAGCACACACTGCATTTGTACCAAGAACCCATCTCAGAACTGTCTTCTCCCACATCTGCTCACCTCAGAGCAGGACAGTTGTTGGCGAGGATGACCAACTTGGCTTTGCCCTGTCGAATCATTTTCAGGGTTTGTTTGTACCCAAGCACATATTTGCCACTTTTCATAACCAGCTGAAGCCTGGAGTTGATGGACTCCAGGGACTTTTTCTGGAAAAGATGTAGAAAAGAGTTATTGTGTTACTTCACACTTTTCAAAACAATGGAAAACACAACACAGAAATTTCAAATATATGCATTTTTCATAATCTCCCTATAATCTGAAACATGGAATAAGAAAGGCCAGTCAGTTACCAGAGTATAAGAAAGCTTACAGACAGGGGCATTGCTGATAGTATGTTTTCACAAATTCAGAAAGTTATTTCTTACCCCCACATCTCTCAATAGGAAAATACATCTCAAAGCACTGTTGCTGCTATCTACATAAATCAGTGACATCTGCGTGTATCTGACAAGCTCTTGTCAAGCTCAGCTAGTCAAGGCCCTGCAAAGCTTTGCTAAGCCAGGTTTAGCATCTCTCTCTCCCCAGGGTGCACACTGACAACGTTACATGGAGCAGCAGAAGGAAGTACTTCTGTGGGATATCGAACTGATATTACCGAGGGGAGCGCGGTGCTCATGACAACAGGTTAGGTGCATTTGACGGACGAAATCACCACCTTTGAGCAAGAAACTCAGATCTGTCAGAGCCACTCTAAGAGAAAGGCCAAAACATGGCAGGAAAGGCAAAACTGAACTCCACCCGCACCAGGACCTGGGCACCCCCTCTGCCCTCCTGCAGCCACCTCGGGAGCTCTGCAAGCCCCGGGACACGGCACGGGAGGGACCCGAGAACACCGAGCGCGGCGGGAGGGGCGCGGCCGGTGCCAGGAGAGCACGGCCCGAGCTCTGAGGGCCGTGCCCGGGGTCCCAGCGCCCCCGGGCCCTGCCGCGGTCCCGCCGCGCTCCGGGGCGCTGCCCGGACGCTCCGCCACCACGTGCGCCCGGCGCGGCCCCGCGCTCACTCACCGTCTTCTTCGCGGCCACCATGTTGCTGCCTCGCGCGGGCTCGGGCGGTACCTGGAACACAGGGGGACGGAGGGGAGCGGTCAGAACCCGGCAGCAGCGCCCGCAGCGGCCCCCGCGCCCCCGGCCCGGCCCCGCTCACCACAGACGCGCCGCCAAGATGGCCGGGCCGCCAGAAAGGAGCGAGCGCCCGGCGAGCACCGCGCGAAGCCCGCGGCAGCTCTCGCGAGAGCCGCGCACGCCCCGCCCCGCCCTGCGGCCGCCAGCGCGCCCGAACCGCGGGGGCGGAGCCTTGTCCGTAGGGGGCGGGGCCACAGCGAGTGGGGGCGGGCCATGGTTGGTGGGGGCGGGCCCGGCTGAGGGCCGGCCCGGGCGCGGCTGCTCCGTGAGGGCGCCGGCCGCCGCCCTTTGCCGTGCTGCCGCCCTTTGCCGTGCCGCCGCCGCCCTCGTTCCGCAGAGCGGCTTTAACGCGTGTTTCGCAGCACAGCCCCCGGAAGGCTTCAGGAGCTGATGCGGGAAGAGCCGCAGCGGCCTGAGCCTCCCATCAGGGAATCACAGAATGGCCTGGATTGCTGGAGCTTGGAGTGCCCTAGTTCCAGCCCCGCTGCCGTGCCATCTTCTGCTAAGCCACGATGCTCAGCGCCCCATCCCACCTGGCCTAGAATCCTCAGAGGGTTGTGGGACATCCATAGCACTTGTATCAGTGTCTTCACCACCCTCACAGTGAAGGGATTCTTCCCAATATCTAATGCAAACCTACTCTCTTTCTGTTTTGAGGCCATCCCTCTTTCTCCTGTCACTAGCATTACATGCTCTTGTAAAAAAAAAGTCCCTCTCCATTTTTCCTGTGGGTTCCCTTCAGGTGCTGGAAGGCCACAATCAGGTCATCCCAAAGCCTTCTCTTTTCCAGACTGAACAATCCCAATTCCCAGCCTTTCCTCGTAGCTCCCTCCCTCTGGGCTCGGTCCAGCAGGTCGATGTCCTTCCTGTGCTGGGGACTCCAGAGCTGAGCACGGTCCTCCAGGTGGGGTGTCACCAGAACAGTGTCCCTGGGGACTGTCGCTTCTGACACAGGGCTGGTGGGGAAAATGATGGGGTGGAGAAGATAAATCTCTTGGGCACCGCAGGGCACCAGCACAGGGCACACGCGGTGGCCTGCCCCTGTCCCTGCTGTCCGCGCTGTGCCTGCTGCCTCCCTACAGCAGCAGCGCCTGCCCTCTGCCCTGGCAGGCCCCAGTTCTGCATGAATGGCCTGTCCCCATGGGATACAGCCCCGGGACGGGCCCGAGCCCACAGACAGGTTTCTTGCATGAAACCAGCCACTGAGCTTGGGAATAGACTTGGGCCCGACACTGCCGACATTTGAGGTTCAGCTCTGGGCGCCCTCAGCGCAGCTCCTGGGTTTGCCGGGGCGATGGCTCTGCACTCCCACCAGCTGTGCAGTGTCTGTGCAGTGTCCCTAGCCCATCCCAAGCAGCTCAGCCCCTGGCTGTGCTGGACGGACAGCACAGGGAAACTTCCTCCTGCCCCTCGTGCACTCTGGAAACCACCAGCTTAAAAACTATCTCGCTGAGCACACACGCACAGCGTGGTTTGGGACCAGGGCCATGACATGAGGCTGCCGTTTTCAGGCCAGGACATTTGTTCTCGATCCCGCAGTGCTGTCCATGCTGGAAGAAGCAGGCCAGGCTGGCGCAGGGAGGAGCAGAGAGCAGGAGCAGCCCAGCTGGCGCCTGCAGGGATGAGCAGTGTGGATGCTTTCTGTGAGTTGCAGAGGTTGCCTGTGACATCCCCCTAGAGGATGCTCAGAGATCCAGCCTGGGGACAGGACAACGGGTTTGCTGCTGGTGTGACTTTTTGCCCTTAAGACCCTGCACCAGAAAGGCATCCCAGCATATACATTTCTTATGA